CTGTACCAAGCCTGATGATGAATAAATCGAAAACAATTGTTCGCTTTAATCGTACCGCTTGCGTTATGGGGCACTAGCAGACATGCTTAACCGTGAATGTGAACGTTTCAAGTTACGCTGTTTGACGGATGACCAGTTTAAGTGTCTTATATTTGTCAGTACTTTACAGTCTCCACGCGACGCGGAAATCCCCACTCGGCTCCTTGCTAAGTTGGATCAAGATCCAGATTTTACATTGAAGTTTCTTGTAGGCGAATGCAAACGGTTGATTACCTTGAAACACGACCCGGCTATGATTGAGCAGAGTCGACCCACCATTAGCGATACTGTTCATGCTGTGCAAAAAGCAAGAAATGCTGGCTCGAACCAGCCGTTCAACAGAACGCCGAACAAGCCGCCTACATCTTATTGGTCATGTGGTGAATGGCATTTCACACGATATACTGTTCATTCAAGCGTCACATTTGTGATAAGTGCCATGAACGCGGCCACAAGGACAACGTTTGCCATCAGTCCCGGCCAAGAAACGTGAAGCAGTCCTACCGAAGGAAGAACTTCAGGAGCTTGACGCAGAATCACGATCGGTGATTGCCACGTTTCCCAGCAATTCTAGGACACGCCGTCGATTTATCACTGTGCTTATCAACGGAATCCCAACCCAGCTGCAGTTCGATACGGCATCAGATATAACGATCATTTCCAAGAACACTTGGAAGCACATAAAGATGCCGAAGATGGTTGATTCCAACAAAGTCGCCCACAACGCATCCGGTGGAGTGCTGAGTCTGGTCGGAGAAATAAATTGCAAAATTGCATTCAACGGAGTGGAACAGACCGGAACCTGCTACTTGTCTGACCGACCAAACTTGAACCTACTTGGACTTGACTGGATGAAAAAATTACAACTGTTTGATGTTTCAATGAGTCAGATTTGCAGTAGAGTCCAAACCGATCCAGTCAATGCATCATTGTCGATAGAAGACATGACAAGAAGGCTAAAGCAGAAGTCTGCCGCCTTGTTTGAAGATGGTCTCCGCCACTGCACTAAGTTCAAAGCAAAGTTGTGCTTTCGCGAAGGAACCAAGGCAGTCTTCAGAGCAAAGAGACCGGTACCGTATGCAGCCATGGCAACAGTTGATCAGGAGCTCGACCGACTGGAACGAGCCAGTGTCATCACAAAAGTGAACTACTCTTCATGGGCTGCGCCGATGGTTGATGTGAGAAAGCCGAACGGTAAAGTGCGTGTCTGCGCCGATTTTTCGACTGGCCTGAATGTCGCATTGGACGACCATCAATATCCCCTACCGATACCAGAGGATATCTTTGCCAAGCTGAATGGTGGGAAGTGTTTCGCCAAGCTCGACTTGTCAGATGCCTACCTTCAGGTCGAGGTTGAGGAAAGCTCGAGAGAATTGCTGACCATCAACACTCATCGTGGCTTGTACCAGTACAACCGCCAACCTTTTGGTGTGAAAACAGCACCAGCCATCTTCCAGTAGCTGATGGATATCATGCTCATGGGAGTTTCTGAAGCCGCGGAGTACCTGGATGATATCACTTTAATGCGTCGGACGGCAGAAGAACTGTTGCAGCGGTTCTCTGAAGTGTTTGTACGTAACGAGTCATTTGCTTTCCGTATCCGTGAAGACAAGTATACCTTTTTTACACCAACCATCAAGTTTCTCGGCTTCATTTTCTCAAAAGACGGTCGTCGCCCTGATCCAGAAAATATCCTAGCTATTCAAAAGATGCCTCCGCCTGCCGACTTGCAATCGTTGCGTTCATTCTGTAGCCTAATCAGTCATTACAGCGCTTTTCCGCTGAACTGCATCGCCTGCGTGCCCCGCCGAATAAGTTGCTGAGCAAGGGCAAAATCTGGAATTGGACGCCAGAATGCCAGACTGCGTTCGAGCGGGTCAAGTCATTGCTGGCTTCAGACCTACTCCTAACTCACTTTGATCCCTCCAGGGAAACTGTCCTTGCCACAGACGCATCGAGTCTATGGATCGGTATCGTAGTTTCCCATAAGTTCCCAGACGGATCTCAGAAGGCGATCGCACATGCCACCAGGACGTTGACGAAAGCCGAAAGAAACTACAGTCAGATCGAAAAGAGGCACTGGCCATAGTGTTTGTTGTGAAATTTCACAAGATGCTGTATGGTCGCCGCTTCAAACTCTTAACGGATCATAAGCCAATGCTGGCCATTTTCAGCTCGAAGAAGGGAATTCCTGCCTATACAGCCAATCGACTCCAACTATGGGCACTCCCCTTGTTGGGCTATGATTTTGAAATCCGGTATTAGTCAACGGATTCAATGGGCCAGGCAGATGCGTTGTCACGCCTCATTGATTCCCAGCAGCAAGAACACGAGGACACCATCATTGCCTCAGTTGAGATCAAACCTGATGTCAAATTCCTGGTGAGCGAGGCACTACATGGTATGCCAGTTACGGCCGATGCTGTGCGGGCCGAAACGCTTCGAGACCCAATCCTGAAGAAGGTGACACACTTCCACAGAACCAGCTGACCACGTTCGTGTTCATCTGCCGAAATGCAGCAGTTCTATCGGCGAAGATATTCGCTCTTCATTGTGAACGATTGCGTCATGTTCTCAGAGAGAGTAGTCATCGCGCAAGCGCTGCAAGAAGGAGTGCCGCGGCAGTTCCATGCAGGACATCTAGGGCTCAACCGAATGAAAGCGCTTGCCCGAAGTTTTGTGTATTGGCCGTTTATGGACAGACAGCTGGAGCAGCTAGCTAGAAGTTGTGGCAACTGCGCTACCGCTTCAAGGGCACCGCCGAAGACTGAACTCCACTCGTAGCCTGAATCAACTAAACTTTGGAGCCGTGTTCATGTCGACTTTGCAGGCCCAATCAATGGCCAGAACATTCTCATAGTGGTCGACGCTTATAGCAAGTGGCCCGAAGTGTCCCTCATGAGAAGCACGAAAACCAGCGCAACAGTCTTGAGGTTGAGACAAATCTTCAGCAGGTTCGGCTGCCCTGAAACATTGGTGACGGACAATGGAGCATAGTTTACTTCGGCCACATTCACGGAATTCTGCCAACGCTGCGCCATTAAACACGTGCGGTCTCTACCATTCCACCCACAATCGAATGGCCAAGCGGAGAGGTTTGTGGATACATTCAAACGCGCTCTCCTCAAATCAAGGAGGGAGGGAGACATAGAGGAGATGATCGACCGGATTTCTCTTTCTGTACCGATCTACACAAAATCCACAAACGCCGGGTGGAATAAAACCAGCAGAGGCAATGATGAAGAGAAAACTTCGCATGCAATTTGATGCAGTTCGGCCGTCCTCAGAGTCCACAGCTGCTGAAAGGAACCTCAAGATGGAACGTGACTTTAATCGGCGGTATGGTGCCAAGCGACGTTCGTTTAAACCGGATCAGCTAGTACTTGTACGTGATTATTGGGATGGACACGCGAAATGGACGTCAGGCACGATCCAGGGCAAACGCGGAAGCCTCATTTACGACGTGCTGGTTGGAATGCAGGTATGGGTACGCCATACAAACCAACTGCGACCAACAATGTGTCAGCCACAAGCAACAGAATCCGCCGAGCTTCCATTTGACCTGTTGACAGACAGCTTCAACTTGCCTAAAGAGCCAGTAGAAGAATCCTGTCATCAGACGAATGGTACCAGATCGCAGAGCACGGAATTCGAATTCAGAACACTACAACCAAGGCGATGAACCGATAGGCGAAGAACCCCTTCCAGGAGGCTTCAGGTCAATCCCAGGATGGCATCATACACCACAACAGATGTTTCAGGATGGGAGGTATCCGGGAAAAGATAAAGACATAAAAGAAGAGGCTATGAAACTTGCGACACACGAACTACGAAAGAAAAGAAAAAGGAAAGTATGTAATGGTGACTGAAAGCTGGAGTGAAGGGAATCGCCTACCCCGTGCGGTCGATCAGGCGATCGATCGAGCGGACGAACGAGTTTTTAAACACCCAGCTAATTGTACTTTGCCTCAGAGTTGAGAGTACAGCGTTTTGGCTTTTGGCTACGTTGGCAGCTTTTTTGTTAACACGTTTTTTGTGGTCAAGGTCGTTGGAATTTTGATTTTTCTTCGGCTGGGCTAGAATATATTTTGGCTGTTTAATTCGGAATAACGAGAAAAAGTGAAGATCTAACAACTGGCTACCCGCAGTTGTGCGACTCTTACGCTGTCATCCCTTGTACAGCATATTTCTTACTGATCCGGCCGTGTTACAAATCCGACCTAAAATGAATTTCGTAATTTGGTGCTTGTTGCTTTTACTATTAATCTGTGGGAACAAACAGTGTTTCGACCTCCGTAACTCCCGTTCGTAGCAGTTTATCGAAAAAAATCGTTTAGATTACGTAGTGGAATTCACCTAGAGGAGACTACGTAGCATAGCGAAAAATGAGCATATTCAAATCACTGAAAGCGATAATCATTCGACAGAAGACCGGAAAGGTGGACTTGGCACGCGATGAAACCGCACTGGTTTTATGCTTATCTGTGCCATGTGTGTACTCATTTAACACCCCGTACAATGCCGATTACGTTACCCATTATCACCGACCACTCGCGTCTGTGATGGTTGTACTTGTCTTGGTGGAATAGCATTTCACGCCCCACAGGAAGTGTGGAAGCCACGGAGTCTTATAGATGGCCGAGTCGTTGGTCACCACAGAGACCGGTCACCTAATGTGACACTATTCTCTCGTCCAAACAGCTTCCTTCTATTTCTTGATCGGCACAGCATCGTTTTTCACTCACCTGTTTTGTGTTTGTGTCTGCACCAACTCCAACGCGAAGCGGTGTGATTCCTCGCCGACCTTTTAGTCATAGTGAAATTGCAACGGCCGTCATGCTTGGTTTTTATTGTTTAATGGTCAAGGACCAGCGGAATCTGCATCTCGCTCCGTTTGATAACTACTTTTCCATCTGTACATGTTCACTGATTCCTCAAAGCGCTACTCTTCGTTTTGTTAGATATACAAGACGGACCTACGGAGCCCAAGTAGCTGTTTGAGCACCTTCAATGCTGGAAGGACGACCGGACTGATTTACTTCACAACCATAGTACTGGAGAAGTTGTTCACATCGACACCGGTATAGCAAACTTTTTCACAACTGTGATGTTCACTGTACATTTGTAGCGAAGACATACACGTGCGTAAAATATCTTATATACTACACCCTGGTGTTGCTTTTTCCCCGGGCCTCTTTCATCAGTAATTTATTTGAACTAGCCTGTGATTAATGTCAAATATTACAAGGGTGCGCATTTTCGGGCTTTTTGTGTATCCGAAAATCATTTCGTAGATTGTAGTAAGCATTCTTCAGACAAACGCACCTTAATTTGCGTGGGACTTTGCTTAGCATGGATTATGGTCTTTGCTGCAGTTTGCACCTTCTAACCCGGTGGTAATTACCCCCAAAAGGAGTAAAATGGAATTTTTGGGAGGTAAATATAAGACGTCAATCAGTTGCCAAACCAAATATAATACAAACATCTGCATCAAAACATGTAACTACCTAATCACCATTGATTAGCCACCATTGACTAGTGAATGGTCAGTGAAGTAGACAATTTTCGGTAATAAGGTTTATTACCTAAAATACAAATACAGTTTGCAGAGCAGCACAGCTATATGGCGCTTGTATCGGCTTGCTCTTCGATCGTTGTTCTTTTGAGTCAGACAGTCATTCGTCGGATCGAATTACAGAGTTGAGTGATCACTAAGATAGCAGCATAGGTCGGCCGATCTCGTAAAGGATTAAGCGAAGTTTTACAATTTAGTAGTGACAAAACAGGCGATTAATTTTCAGGACGTATCCATACGGTGTGGTTGTGGGAAGTTTGCCTTCAGTACGCACTTGGAAGGTTGGAACAAATAAGAACCCACTGACATCTGTGTATGTTTGTTTAAGGATCACACATCAAAGCAAGGAGCCGAACGAGTCTGGTGCACGAATTCCGATGTGCATTAGCCGAAACCGCACCAAATCCACCAGAAATTGTTAGAACCAATCGTCTCATTAAGCCACATCACATCTTGCTTATCTAAAAGTTGCTCAAAAATAGGTGTTTTCCGTTGTTGAATGATTGAACGTACATACAAATAGTGTTCATTTTCCGTACTTTGAATCAAAAATTACAATAAGTAATTGGCTTTTTAAATTAGACTTGGGGGGGGGGGGTGATTGTTAATAGTGAGCCCGATTTGTGGGTAACAACCTCAGAAAGGTTAAGAACCACTGTTCCAATTTGATGTATGTGGCCGTTTGGCCGTATAAGGCAGAGGAAGCGTAATTGCCTTCGGTCGCGAACTGTTTGAGAGAGTATGTGGGCGCACCGTTTAGCGCCTCATGTGCGGCTAATATTTGCTCTAGAAGCGCCTACGCTTGCAAACCTGTGTGGTTTGTGTTTCGCTGCGTTACATACTGCCGCACTTCGGTTGTATTTACGGAACTGCTTACTCCCCGGATTAGAACTTCGCGGCTCGTCAGCTAGGAAAACTTTTTCATGGTTCACCGATGCAAACTGACCGCCAGAATGCCAACGTGCATCGTGCCGTAGCGGCTCATTGGTCTTCGTGAGAGATGAATCATGGAATTTGGCTGGCTTTCAGCGCCGGTCGATGGTGCGCTGGTCAAATTTTTTTAACGGTGGTACATCATCATACTCATATGATGTACTCGCTTCGGCTGTTCGTGACCTGAAGGATCAAGAGCTCGCTTTGTAATCTGAAGTCGCGGGTTAGAGCCTGCGTAGGAGATCGGGCGACCCTCGCAGTATCCTAGTCCACGCTCGACAGCGATGCGTCCGTACATGGTACCAGCGTACTGTTAATATTTTTACGGCAGTAGACATATAGAACGTGGAGCGATATAGCGATTATCATGGCCTCTGCGCAAGTATGACATAAAATTGTGAAGCGTTTCATATTTACGTAGCGTTTGTCCAGCGGCTTTTCTTACTTTGTTGCCGGGTGAGTTTGCTCGTTGATAGTGTCAGCGTGTGCGTGCTAATCGTGCAATCCTGTGTTCTGTGTTAAATTGGACTTATCCCCTCACATTCTTGTGCCACCTCTTCGGAAGTACGCTGAATCGATTCGGATCACCAATGGGTCGATATTTTTGAAGTAAGTCCAACCACACGCTGGCACACCACAAACGAAGTCTATTCACTAAGGCGAATGTGAGTAACTGCTTATTTGAGTTTCATCAGTACCTTGGGGATACCATTCGACAGAGCTTCTTTAAGGCTGTCAGAAAATATATAACTTAGTATTATGCACCGCTGTATACCATAGTTACAGGCGTATTTTTTTCATCTCACGTTACCACCATGTTTTTGCGTACATTTCACTACACAAAGCCTGTGCGATTTTCGCTACTCCTGCGCCTAGTGACGCACCACCACCAAACCCGCTGACCGGAGCAGACAACTGAGGCATCCCAAACGGCGTGACAAGCGCAACCTAAAAGTGCATACCGACCATTGATCCATGGGCCGGAGAAGTTTGTCAACCGGGAATCCAGTGAGCAACAAACCCAAAGTCAATCGTAGCTCGGACAAGCGAGGAACTGAGATCCTCTCGAAAATCACGTGTTCCTTCTGTGCCAATTTCTACAACGCAACAAGTGTAAACGTTACACGTAACGAAGCTGACAGCGTGTCGGCAGATAGGTTGTAGTTCTGTGACTTATGTTCAGATAGTCCGATAATTAGGATTGTTCAAACGCTTACGATAAGGTGTGAGATGTTGGCTGTTACGTCGTCAGAGCAAATGGAACTGATCGCGGTATTGGGAGGGAAAATCTCAGAACTCGAGTTGCAGATTAATCTATTAGGTGGCCCGAATCCCAGACTTGTTAAAAGGCAAAAGCTCTCTATCAACAGTGCTACCCAGTCCAGCGAAAGGCAAACACCGTTTATGAAGAACAGCAGTGAAAACAGGCCGGTTGAACGGTCTCCCAAGTCTCACGTAATGCTTCAAAACATGCAGAGTCATGCACAAATTGCACGAACACCTCCGTCAGTAGCTGGGCAACAACAATTGACTCCTACAGATAGTACAACTAACGGCGTTGCACGTAAACTAGCTTGCTGTAGCGTTGGCCTGTCGTCCACGGAAAACAAGCCAGACACTTCCACTCGACAAACCTACGCTCAAAAGGAACTATAGAACTAACAATTGCTACGCAACCAAAAGGCGATGAATGTTATGTTTAGACATCCCAGAACCCACTAGCGAATCGCTAAAAGGTAGACAAGCCGAGGAGCAAAACCGCTAGGCTGAAATAACCTGCGCACTCGAACTGAAGATTCTCCCAACTAGTCTTACACTCCTTTCACGAAATCCATCATTTCCACACGTAGGGGAACCTCGGTTACTGCGAGTAACGTTTGACAACACACACGGTCTGGAAGATGTCCTTTTAGTGAACTCTTCTATCAGTGCCTGCATTTTTCCTGCCAGGCCATGGGCCGAAAGACAGACGCGGAAATTCAACCCTAGTTCGTCACGTCAAAACGAGATGTAGAAAGTGGTACTGGTTCATGATGTGCCGGCACTGAAGCATGACGATAGCAGTGAACGACAGAAGCACGACATCGAAGAATAGATGTGCATCACAGAGCTCTATGACACGCAAAATGTCGTGGCTTTTGATGTTACCCGTCTAATTGCCTCTACAAACTACCAAGGCAGCGGGCCACGAGTTTCGAAAGTTACTTTGGTTGCACCCGAAATGGTATCAGTGGCGACTCAATCATGGCATGACAACAGAAAACTTGGGCCACCAGAAGTACGGTTAAGATCATTCCTTCAATTAGTACAGACTTCCGCTACAAATGAGCCAGTCTCGGTTGTACCTATCTCATATCAGCCAACTGTGCAAACAACCGTTTTAAAAGAACTAGCAGAGCGGCACTATTTGTGCCGGTCACTCACAGCGAACCAAGCTCCTAATGCGTCAACACATACGATGCTGTTATACCAACACTCAGGGGTTGTATTCTAAGCTCTCTGAACTGCGCCATCGACATGAAACGACAACTTGGGACCACATAGCAGTTACTGAAACTTCGCTTTCAAATGACATACTTGATCCAGAGGTTGAACTCAGTGAGATGTCAGTCATTCGAAATGATCGTCCATCTCGCGGTGGCTATGTTTCCCTCTACTATCGAGATTACTTGAAATGTGAGGCCGTTGCCGAAAATTCCCTTGCTATTCCCGACGCACTATTTTACCGACTGCACCTAGCAGGTCGAGATGTTGGTTCACAGAAGACGCGTGATGCTTGCCTCTTAGCAGTTATCTATAGGCCTCCGAACTCGTCAGCAGACAGCCATAACATTCTTTTAAACGCCCTCCGCTATGCTGTTTCACAAACTACTCTCATTATCTTATAATGGACGACTTTAATGTTTCTTCAATAGCATCGGTGTTCCCTAATGGACCATCATTTAAATTGCATCTCCTTGAATTCATGGATATGGCAGTTTTGTATAACCATGTGCATCGACCAACCAGACACCGCGGTGCAAACAAGCCATCACTTCTGTACTTAATCCTGCCTAATGAAGGGTTGATGGTTGCGTCAGTAGCATGCGATCATCCACTGGGCCGTAGCGACCATTCAGTCCTAACATTTGGTTCTGTGTTATGTCAGTATTGTTGATAACGAAACAGCGACCCAACGAACTATCACGAACTATTTTAAGGTGCAGAACTCAGCAGCAACCGTTGACTGGGACCTACAGACGCACAGTTCAACGAATGACGCGTGGAATGAGCTGAAAGATAACTGGGTCATACAACCAACATTGAAGGTTATACCATTATGAGTATCGCGCCGGACCAATACGTGGATCCGAAACAGAACACGTAAATGAATCAACGGAAGATATGAGATCTGGAGGCAACATTCGCTAAGCCCATGTGATACTACATGGCAGAATTACAAAGCAATCAGATACTACTTCACGTCGCTCCTTAGAGTCGATAAGTACGAATGGCAGGAGACCATGGTGCTGAAATTTACGAGCAACGGCAAACTACCATACAGATTTGTGAATGGCAAAAGAAGGGTTAAGCCCGGAATACCACCACTCAATGCAGCCAGTGACCTAACAACTACTGCTGTGGATGACGCGAACGTTCTACTTCTTCATTTTGG